ATAATTTTTATGAATATATATAATATATATATATATGTATATAAACACTGCATATATATGGTGTACTTCAGAAATGATTAAGATCAGACCCTTTTTTACATCTTATGTGAGTTATGCTAAAATGCTTTTTAATTTATCTTAATATTTATAAATTAATATTATATTTTTAAATTATATTTATTACAATTTTATAAAAAGGAATATATTTTGATTTAATAAAATATTTGTACATGTTTTATATAATATGTTTCTCCAGTCTGAATTATTTGTTGTATTCAGCCTTTACAATAGAATAACAATCGCACTCTAATAAAAGCTCTGTGGAACATGTTCAAATACACTGCTTTCTTATAGAAACTGCTTAATGTTGGGTATATGTTTGTTTTTATACGAGCACTAGTGCTATGTCATTGATACTGTTGTAACAGTCTGTTTCCAGACCATTCAAAAAAGATCATCAGATCCATCTCATGGATGTCCATCTGTCTATCCTGACATTCATTCCATGTGAGCACTATTGGGCAAAACCCAGTGGCTGTTCGTCCCAGTGGTGACGCTGGTAACTGATGAACCGTGACTTTAAAACCATCAGAGTCCATCAGCCTGTGGCTACACTGTATGTGTGTGTGTGTGATTAACACATGAAGCCACCAGACACAGTTTAACATCTCACTCATTACTCTTTCTGCCTCCTAACGTTACAGTACACACTCCCTGGAGAGCGTGTGTGTGTTGTGGCGAGGGAGAGGTGCGAGTCTATATCGGGCTGTGTTCCAGCCAGTAATTGATGATGCGTAAGCAACAGCCTCCTTCTGATGATGCGTACACAGCTGAGACCCACATCTCACGAAAACACGGCCAGCTCATATTTCATCCCAAAAATTAAATGAAGAAAATAAGAAATTATGTTACGTAACGGAAAGAAATCCTGTTTTTTGAACCATTAAAATTTTGTTGCATTGAGACGTTATTTGCATGACAATTAAGCACATTTGTCCTCATAATGCTAATGCAATCAAAACATTTTACTTTGCAGTTTTCTTTTTTCCCCAGTTGCATTTAACTGTATCATTAGTATAAATTAGCATAATATTTGATTTAAAACAGTATGAACACATTACAATAAAAACAAACCTGTCAAAAGGTTCTATTCAAACAAAATACACACACGTACTAATACTAATCTATCTATATGTATTTGTCTGTATACATTTATAGCATTATGCTAAACGCTCTAAATTATTTATTATTATTAAATGTATTAAATAATTTTAAACTATAATATATATAATAATATTTATTTATTTTTGCATTCAAATAATGAGAATGTGAATTTTTACATCACAATAATGAATATATAATGCAAAACACTCCTAATAGTCCTAAAAATAGGCTTTTTCTTCAGCAATTAATTTTTTTATTACTAAAAATTGTATACATTTAAAAGAAATAATAATAATAATAATAATAATAATAATAAAGTAAAATAAAACAATAATTTATTTAAATTTTGGTATGAATATGATCTAGGTGTGTTCTTTACAGGTTTATAAGATTCACTCAAAGAGGGAGGAGAGTTATCTTATTTTCCTTGAGACACACACACACACTGCTCAAATCCCCAAACATCTGCATGGATACGACACAGAGACACACTCCTTATAATGAATGGGGTCAGTTTTATGGAACGATATTTTATCTGATGGGAAAGAAATAATTCATTTAATGCATTTCCTGAGATTTTTTGCCAGCTCACCAAGTGGCCTGTCCCAGTGTGAGAGCTGGAATTACACGCCTGTGCACACAGGAAATGAATTCAATGCAAACACAGTAAACAACATGAAAAGTTTATTGCGAAATTAACCAAATCATTATCACTAATCAACACGCCGGAGCCAAAAACTCACTCACACGCGCACATATTAATGCATGCGGTAAGAGCAGGGTATGTACTGCATGTCAAGATGAGATCTCAAATCTTAATAGATGGCATTAAAGCATTATGCATGGTTGACTAAGCAGTCAGTGAGGTGATGTTATGGACTGTTTTCTTGAAGGAAAGAGAGCGCTTTGAACTCCACGCCAAGAGATTTCCCTCTTGCTGTCTGTGTGTGTTCGTATAATAACTCTCATGTCATATGAAGTCAAAAGATTACACATGATTTAAATTAATTTCCTGATGAGAAAACCAAAATAAACCTCAATTTCCATAAATGCTTGCAACAAACAGGTTGCAAATGCATTCATAAACATCCATAGCGTAATACATTTGATTTCTATACACACTGCAGAAATCCAAACTAAATCTTGATTATGAAAATTATTTTTTTCTTTGTCAGGAAACTTACTGCAGTAGCTTATTGTATTAATTAAATAATATTTTTAAGTGTCAGGTAATATATTATATATATGTATTTATTTATTTATTTATTTTTATTAATTGTTATGTATATATAGTGTACATTATTTTTTATTAATGAATATACAAATTAATATTAATAAGAATATATGTAAATTTAGTAAAATATTTATATATTTTGTAAAATAATAATTATTATTATATTGTATATATTCTATTTATCAATTAAATAACTGAAAAACAAACAAACAAAATATATATAGTATACATTATTTTTATTAATAAATATATACAAAATAAATGTTTATATATTTCATATAATAGTAATAATAATGCATATATTTAATTCCATTTTATTGTACATTCTTATAAATGTACAAACATAAAAATGTTTTTGTATGTCTCTTTGCTTTTCCAGTTTGGATTAAGATTAGTATTCATCTTACAATACAGGCCCATAACAAATGAACTCTGATAAAAGCCAGATCTATTGAAGTTAAGCTTTGAAATTTGTTGTGAAAGTTCTGATCGCTAACCGTGAGGAAGTCAGTGAGTTCGCTGTTGAGAAGTTCCTTCAGCTCCCCTTTGCTGAGTTTGTATTTGTCTCCCTCGCTCCCTGAGTAGTTGTGAAAGACGGTGATGAGTGCATCCATGGCTCCCTCCAGTTTACTGGGCATTACTGCTGCAGAGCACCTGTGGAGCAGACAGGAGACACGTCCAGTTCAGACTGACCTGCTCCTGGTCACGCATAAGTATTTTGTGGCCATATTTACAAACAAACTCTTCAAATGTATCACAGTATTTTTTTCTAGACATAGCAGCATGTCAATACTAGGGCACACAATACAATAATCATTCGGTACCGAGATGTAAATCAAAGTGCAATCACTCTCCAATGGTATTCCCACAGCCAAGTGACCAATTTTGCAAGGTTAAAACCCATTTTAAAAGAACAAACTTAACAAGTTATTAGACATCTTTGAAATATCAACTGAGGTCTAAAGTTTGCTGGCAAAGAGAAAGATGTGTCTTACCTCGTTGACAGCTGAGAAGTGAAGTTCTGTGTGTTGGTGAACAAACTGTTTTCAGGAGTGGATGAAGTTGTTTTTGAGTAACCTGTGCAGGAAGGACCGTCCTCTGTTGTCGTGACGATGCACGATAGCACAGGTGTTGCACCATAGTAACCCTGTGACCTCAATCCGCACCCTTCCATACACCTGCACTGAAAATACACTCCAAATAAAAGAGCAGCGGCCTCTTGAGAGCCCTACACACGCACACACACACACATACACACAGGTTTGTTTTTGTGAAAAGTGGGGACATCCCATAGGCATAATGGTTTTTCTACTGTACAGACCGTATATTCTATTGCCCTACACCAACCCTACCCCTAAACCTACCCCTCACAGGAAACTTTGTGCTATTTCAGATTTTCAATACACTCCATTCTGTGTGATTTATATGCGTTTTGAAAAGTGGGGACATGGGGCAATGTCCTGAAAAGTCACCTTCTCCTTGCAATACCCTTGCCATTATACAAATTTACGTCCTCATTTGCCACAAAAACATGCACACACGCACACACACAGACACACACACACGTTTGTTTCTGTGAATTGTGGGGACTTTCCGTAGACTTCTATTACTTTTATACTGAAAAAACGATATTTTCTATCCCCTAACCCTAAACCTACCCCTTACAGAAAACCTTTTTGCATTTTTACACTCTCAGATAAACATCATTTACTATTTTTAATAATTTTTTTCCCACAGGCCGGTCCCCACAATGTCAAAAATGTAAGGTCTTACTATCCTTGTGGGGACATTTGGTCCCCATAATATAGCATAAACCTAAACACACACACACACACACACACACACACACACACACACACACACACACACACACACACACACACAGAGCATATGCAGAAATGTACTTTATGAGTCTTTTTTGCTCAATGTCTTTTAATCTACTGATGTTTTTGTGATTTTAGATGGATGTTTCAGGTATATGTGATGGAAGTCAGATGTACAAGTGTTCATCACATTAACTGAACCATGATCAATGATTAAAACATCATAAACACAGTTTCCAAAGATTTTCTCTTCATTGTTCTTCATTCAACATTTTTGGAATTTTGAAACAGATAACAAAGATGCCATTTTCCCTTAAAATAAATGACCATAATCTGTTATATAATGTTATGACATCTATTCACTATCATTCAGAAGTTTGGGGTCTTATTTAAAGAAATTAATACTGCCATTAAGCAAGAATGCATTCAATTAATCAAAATTGACAGTAAAGACATTTAGAATGTTACAAAACATGATTTTTATTTCAAATAAATTCTGTTCTTTTGAACCGCTCTTTCCTGAAATAAATGTATCACTAATTACACAAAAATATGAAGCAGCACAACTGTATTCGACATTGATAATAATAAGAAATGTTTCTTGAACAGCAAATGAGCATATTACGTAGAATGATTTCTGAAGGATCATGTGACACTGAAGACAATCTGTTATATAATGTTATGACATCTATTCACTATCATTCAGAAGTTTGGGGTCTTATTTAAAGAAATTAATACTGCCATTAAGCAAGAATGCATTCAATTAATCAAAATTGACAGTAAAGACATTTAGAATGTTACAAAACATGATTTTTATTTCAAATAAATTCTGTTCTTTTGAACAGCTCTTTCCTGAAATAAATGTATCACTAATTACACAAAAATATGAAGCAGCACAACTGTATTCGACATTGATAATAATAAGAAATGTTTCTTGAACAGCAAACAAATCAGCATATTAGAATGATTTCTGAAGGATCATGTGACACTGAAGACTGGAGTAATGATGGTGAAAATTGAGGAATAAATTACATTTTACAATATATTCAAATAGGAAATAGTATTTTAAATAATAATATTTCACAACTTTACTGTTTTTGTACAGTATTTCTGATCAACTTAATGCGGCATTGGTGATCAAATGAAACTCAGCCAAAACCAATAAATGAGGTTACCGACCCCAAACATTTACTAGGCTGATTAACTAGCTTAACCAGCAAGACATTCTTGGTCAACCTGCTTCATCAGAAAGATCATGCTGGTTGACAGCACCAAACCATCTATAGCAATCAAACCAAGAAATTCATGCTTTTAAGAGTGAACTAAAGTAGAACAGAAGCTAGAAAAATGCAAAGCATTAAAAGAGAAAGGAACAAGACAATGTGATTTTAAACAGAACTTATTTATAGGAAATGCCTTTGTGATTATGCTGATGGAGATGGCATGACATTTTGGCACTAGAAATGGCAGAGGCCCCCAGGCGTCTCTGGGACCCCACATGGGGCCTCTGTAAACTGCCTGCCCCGAGTCAAAAGGGCCCACCCCTATGTGTCAATACGGATGGAGTCGTGGATGTCCACAGCACAAATGGTACAGGTTTAATTATATATGATTAGGGGGAAGCTTTCCTTATCCTAAGTCCCTCTAAAAGCGTTTCATCAGCATCTCTGTCGTAGATGCATAAAAGAGCTCTAATTTTGGTCATTAAGTCATTGCAACGGATCAAATAACAAGGCTTATTACCTCTGCCTGGGGAAAGAGAGAGTGAGCGAGAGAGCAGATAAGAGACTATTATTAAGATTCTGTACTTGGCTTATCACTTGACTAGAGCTCATTTATTTAATCATGTGATTATTAGTGATTCATAGTACTAGAAGACCAGTACTAGAATCTGAATGCAGATGGAGAGAGAAGGATATGCTTTAAGGTTGTTTTCTGGTTGTGTTTTCAGTTGTGATATACATAGGGTTAATTTAGGATAATTGGGCCATTTTCCCCCTCAGTCACCTCAACGGCAAAAAGCATCCCAATTTACCTGAATTCTCCCTATATGGTTGGGCATATGTGGCTTAATTCTTAAGGCCCGTTCACAGAAAGAACTATAGCTATAATCATGACTATATTAACTTCAACACGATAGCATAGGGTTTATTATAAGTTTGCGCCTCAGTTTTGTTGTCTGCTGCATAAAAAGTGTATTTTTGTGACTTTGAAGCCCCGTACAGTTAAGCGAGTGGAATTCACTGTCGTAAATATATCACAGTGGATAGCTGTACACATGCATTTGTTGCGGCTCTAAAGCAACCCAAACTTTTCGTAGAATTTCGTACCTGCTCAACATTCGCCTAAAACAATTGTTTGGGGAGAACGCTGGAAAGAAATAAAAGCCATTCGCCATATTAGTTAGTGTACTATTCTGAAACTGCATAAAATTACTTGAGATGCTCGAGCTCTTTAGAGTGACTGTGTTTGGATACTGATTGGCTGTCAATGTATTTATCATTCATCAGCCGGAAAAAAGTGATTCCAACTGTCCCTTACGAAAATTAACCATGGTTTTATTAGGCCTATAAGAAAAGTGTAGTAACCATGTTTTTTGGCATATTGATCACCATTTGTATAACCACAGATTTACCATGGTTAAACTGTAGAAAAACCATGGTTAATTTGTGATTGCCATTGTTTAACTACCATGGTAACCATGCTTTATTTGTAGTAAAACTATGGTTATATTTTGTAAGGGGTGGCTATACCATTATTATGATGGGGACTTCCCTAATGGTAAATTTTAAAGGCCTAGGTATAGTTATCATAGTGTGAATGAGATAGTTGTTATTCACAGTCAGTGAGAACGGACTGTTTTTGCTCTGTTCTTTCTGCATGATTGTCTGGTTCAGCTTGTTCAGAAAGCTTCAGTGCTTCAATTGGAAAATCCAGTAACATCCTCCAAGCAAAGGCGTTTACGTCACGACTATTATTGCTCGAAGGAACGGGACTTGATGACGTACGCGGCGTTCTTGTTTTCCTAAAACTACGCTATTAATCCCATAGAGTTACTCTTAGGTCTAAGAGAACTTCAAACCTAAGACTATTAATTTGTTAAAATCAGTATTTATTTAATATTGTGTTCTGGACAGTTTTTTCCCCCCTAAAAGATAATAGTGTTTCGAGATCTCTTTCTCTCCAAGGATGAAGTCGAGTCTATTTTTTACTCCTGATCTCACCTGAGGGAGAGCAGGGGGGGTGTCAGGACGAGGCTCAGGTGTGTTTCACCCCAACCCTGCAAGCTAAAAGTGTTTTCCGTTCATTAAGATGATGAAACATTTCCCTTCTAAGTAGGCTACTGTGTGAATTAGAGTGAGAGAAACCTATTGAATTTACTGTGCTTGGAGGCCAATGACCCTTATAGTCACACACAAATCCGTAATTTGTTCATATAATGTCTCAGTATTCATACTACTGCAGTTGTTTAAACACCATTAAAGTAAACAGCACAACATGGTAGTTTCACCACATCTTCAGACGACAGGCAGCATGTTGCGATCTGCTGTTTTAATGGCAATGTGTTTCTGACCTCTAGTGGCTCAGCTTTGGTAATACCAGTGATAGTTCAGTATCATTGAGATACTCTGGAAGCAACTGACACTACCATTCAAAGTTTGTGGTCCATGAGATTTAAAAAAAATGTTTTTAAAAGAAGTCTCTTATGCTTACCAAGCCTCCATTTATTTGATCAAATATACAGTACAAACAGTAATATTGTGAAATATTACTACAATTTAAAATAACTGATTTCTATTTGAATATTATTTAAAATGTAATTTATTCCTGTGATGCAAAACTGAATTTTCAGCATCATTACTCCAGTGTCACATGATCTTTCAGAAATCATTCTAATGTGCTGATTTGCTGCTTAAGAAACAAACCAGTTATCAAGTGCATAAAGGCTTAATATAAGAAGACAATCTATTTTGCCAGGTAAGAGAATTTGCTCCCATAACTAACCCATAATCCTAATTTAACAGCCTAATTCTCGCAAAAGTAATCTGCACAGGTAAATAAATATTGCGACAGGTCTGTTGCAGTGTAAATACCTAAACAGCAAATGTCAAATGTCTGTATCATACTGCATGTTATGTAAGAGCCGCAGGCTAGAATTGATCGACAACTCACTGCAACCAGATGATGATGAGCAACTTGAGCAGCTACAGGACCAGACAGCTAATCCTGGTGCTCCTGAAGGCTCTTCCCAGCAATTCAACCAAGCTGAAACCTCCGTCAAGCTGTAGTGGCTTTGACTGAGCGTCTGTGATGAGAAACAATGCCAGTTCAAGTCTCACCAGAACACAAAATACTGAAAACTTCACTCTTATGTTAAAGGAATAGTGCTCACCCTCAGGTCATCCAAGATATACATGAGTTTGTTTTTTCATTGGAACAGATTTGGAGAATTAGCATTACATAACTTGCATTACATCAATGGATCTTCTGCAGTGAATGGGTGCAGTCAGAATGAGAGTCCAAACAGCTGATAAAAACATCACAATAATCCACACCACTCCTGTCCATCAATTAAATATTTTGAAGTGAAAAGCTGCCTGTTTTCAAGACATTTTTAACTTTAAACCATTTGCTTCCAGCTAAAATATAAGTCCTCTGTCCATAATATTGATTTCTCCAGTGAAAAAGTTGTCTTGTCTGAATCAGGAGAGAAATATGCACAGATCAAGCACTGTTTACAACTGTCCAACAGTTTTAAATGAATACATTAGCGGATTTTGATATGAGAGGATAACAGTGGATGGTCTTTTTCACAATTTTTCATGGATTATGGACTATATATTTTGGACAGGAATGACAGTTTAGAGTTCAAATGCCTTTAACAAACGCAGCCTTTAACAAGATGTTAATTGATGGACTGGAGAGGTGTGGATTACTTCTGGATTAATCTGATGTTTTTATCAGCTGTTTGGACTCTCATTCTGACGGCACCCATTCACTGCAGAGGATCTATTGGTGAGCAAGTGATGTGATGCTAAATTTCTATGAATCTGTTCCAATGAAGAAACAAACTCATCTACATTTTGGATGGCCTGAGGGTGAGTAAATTTTCATTTTTGTGTGAACTATTCCTTTAATGCAAAAACATGTATACATTGTTATGCATTATAAAGGAACAGCTGACTTGAAAATTAAATGTACTCATTTCAAACCTGCATACATTTTATTTTATAAAACAATAAATAATATATTTTATACTTTATATGTTCTTGCTGGAATACACAGTCAATGCAAATTAATCACCATAATTTATATGCACTGATATCAATAGCTTACATCATGTCAGTTAAAGGCTTTAAAAAAATTACACTTCACCTTTAAGCATTAACACACTGCATCTCATGTCAATCAGCCTGTAATGACTCATATTTTTATTCAGTGTTTGTATGCAGCCTTTCACACAGATTTCTGTTCATGCATTATTCATGCATCCTGTACTAACAATTAGTTTACAGATATATACACTGAAAACAAATCATACAAATCAAAAAATGCTGTTGTCCCTATCATGGAGGATGTTTTTTGCGTGAGAAGTGGATCATTAATGACTCCATAGAGAGCAGCTCAGTGGCCGTCTGCCCTGTCCTGCTCTCAACTTCTTTCTGTTCGAACAAACCAACTTTATTCTGTAGAGAGATTCATGCATGACCACAGTGACACCCAACTGCAACTTCCTGGTCTGAAAAACGGCAAAATATAAACAAGGGCTTTTCATCTCTGTGAAGGCCTGACAGAAAAGCTATGATTAATGAGAGACAGAAAGAGAAAAAGCGAGAGAAACTAGGCTGCACAGGCCAACTCATCCTTATACAGAGATGGGTTGTTGTTTATGATGCATTTACTCAAGTCTAGCCAGACAAACATATGAATATTAATGGAATGTTGTGTAATGTCAGTTTATGTTAATGCCATGCTAATTCATTTATATTAATAGAAGGTTTTAGAAGGTGCAACAAGAAATGAGATGATGTGGAGAAACTCCTGAAATGCTGTAATGTTGAGATCAGTTGCTATATACGTTTCAACATCCACCTGTTTCACAAATACAACTTAAAGCAGTTAAAGGAACAGGTCACCTAAAATAAAAACATTGTCGATTTTCTCACAAAATGGGAATATAACAACGTCTAATACGGGAACAAATCATTTTCAGAGTCATATTTTTTCAATGACTCGTTTGATCAAGTTCACAGTAAGTTCTGAATTGTCGTTTACTGAAAATCTTCATCTGAGCTCTGATGCATTCATGACAGAAGTAACAAGTACAATTTTAAGTTTCTCATGCAAAACTATTGTATGCCTTCAGCTAGGATTTGAAATACAGTGCACAAGTTGTATGGACCAGTTTTATAATACCTTTGTGGTGCTTTTGCATTTTTTTGATGCTTAAAAACTCACGATTCATTGCAAGTACATAAAATGAGCAAACCCTACATTAATAGGGACATCGCCTATGAAGGAATTCACCTTTTCCTTTTCAAAGAACAAATTTATGTAGGTTTAGAAGAAAAATGTTCATTTTAAAGTGTGCTATAAGTGAACATCTCAAGATCTAATTCCAAAACAATTCATGACTCAAGTCATTTTTTACTGTTATTTTAATATTGTTTGTATTATTATTCTATTTATTCATATTTTGAATAAACTTTTATTTTTAGATTTTCAATAACATTACATTTTAAATAAATAAAAAAATAAATAAAAATGTAGTTTAACTTTTAATAATTGTATGTTTTTGCCATTTTTATAAATGTTTGTTTATTAAATATTTCTATACAGCTTTAATGTATTTTTCCTTAGTAATTTTCGTACTTCAAATTAAACCTATTTATTTTTGAAGTATATAATTTTCGTTTACATTTTTACATCTAATATTTGTTTTATTTTATTTCAGCTTTATTTCAGTTAATGAAAACAATTTTTAATCACTTTCTAAGGACCCAAATGCTGTGCAAGAGATTTGTTTAGCAAAGTGACTCACTGCTAAATGCATAAAACCTGAAAATTGTTTTGTTATTGACAATCAGTGGCTGTGCACATTTAAATGCACGTTACATGTCTCTTGATTGCGGTTCTTGCGTAAATACATTCACACCGCAGAACTAATAATGACATTTAAATTCGAATTACGAATTTTTGCACATTGTTTGAACTGCAATGAATCAATGTCCATCTCTGGTTATTAAAACTAAATGCAGTGCAGATGATTCAAATCAAATAGACACTTCACAGATTATTGAGACATCTCTGCTTCTTTCTCCCCATTTCTAGGTCAGAAATGAGTGGCGCAGGAACGTTTCAGCTGGTCAAATGTTGGATCATCCTCAAACTAACAATGAAAAGAGCGTTCACACACAGACACACACACACCATACCAAGAGAAGAGGAGCGTGGGGGGGTGAGAGAAAGAGAAAGAGAGAGAGAGAAACGCTACAGATGCAGGAGGTGGTGCTTGGACACATTTTAGAGGCGTAAAGGCCTGCCTCATTTGGCGTAGATCAGATCTTTTACAAAAAGCCACATCCAGCACTCAAAACAAGAGAAAGTCGCCGCCGGCTGCTGCCAGCATCCTCACCCCACCGCAGGAGTAACAGCAGCCTGGCTGTTGCATCAACAACACGTAGCTGGACATGAATCCCGGCAGTCTGCGTGGCGTTCTGGACGTCAGCAACACAACCTGGGCTCTGTCGGAGCGCTCTGTGCTGCAGCCCATGTGGGATTACCTTCAGCAGAACCATGAGAGCACCTTGCGCTCACCGCTGTTTCCCGTCATCCTCTCAGTGTCCATGTACCTGGTGCTGGTGTTCTTCTACACCGTGCTGGACCTGCTGGCTTCCACCTGGCCCTCCATCCAACGCTACCAGATCCACCAGGACCGCACCATCACCTGGTCCAACATCGGCTCCACTTTGGCGCTCACCACATACAACCATCTGCTCTACATCTTCCCCGCGGCCGTAGCCCAGTGGCTCTGGCGGCCGCCCGTGCCGCTGCCCCGCGAGGCGCCCACGCTCACTGCCTTCCTGCTGGGAATCGTGGGCTGCACCGTGGTGTTCGACTTCCAGTACTACTTGTGGCACCTGCTGCATCACCGTGTCGGCTGGCTCTACCGCACCTTCCACGCGCTCCACCACCAGTATCGCCAAACCTTCAGCCTGGTTACGCAATACCTGTCCGCTTGGGAGCTCTTCAGCGTGGGCTTCTGGACCACCGTGGATCCTTTGCTCCTGCAGTGCCACTGTCTCACCGCCTGGGCGTTCATGCTCTTCAACATCTGGGTGTCCACTGAGGACCACTGCGGGTACGACTTTCCTTGGGCGATGCATCGTCTGGTTCCCTTCGGCCTTTGGGGTGGAGCGCTGCGGCACGACGCTCACCATCAGCAGCCGGGCACTAACTTTGCGCCTTTCTTTGCCCACTGGGACTGGCTGGGGGGAACCGCAACCATGCCGGCTCCTGTGAAGACAAAAACGCGGAAAGAAAGGGACGAAAAGGAAGCCTGATGCTCTGCTTTCCCTTTCACACCCTCGCTCTCATCTCTCTCTTCACTCCATCTGTCCCGCCCTGTCTCGCACGTTCCCCGTCGCTATTCATCTTCTCCCTGAACTGCAGATCAAGTGTCTTACTAACAAACCAGTAGAGAAGCAAGCAGCACATTCCTGGCGAAAGCGTCCTGCTCCTTGAATGTATAAAGTATCTTTTCTTGCAAATCTATCTATTTTTCTAAATAATAATAATAAAAAAAACTCTAGCATTTGATGGCCAATTTGTGGAGTTTTGTGGCATATCTCAGGTTTGTAGTTTTGGCCTAATGTCTTTCAAAAAGATTATGTGTGTTCAAAATGGCTTGTATTCCAATGCTTGTTATTGTATTTTGTAATTTTTACTAAACTTGAGTCAATAAAATGCTGTGTTGTTTGTTAAGTTTACCTTCAGCTGTGTTGATATGCATTCGAGGATGCTTTGCAACCTAAAAAAAAACACGCTGACCGTTATAAATGTTAGAGAAGAGGAGCGTATGAAGTAACTGTGTGGCATGTTGGCTAACACAGTTGGCTCACTGTGATTGCTAGAAAGATCTAAGACTACTTACATCATCATCCCTGCTGCTGTTTGTGTTTGCTAATATAAATTCAAAATGTTCAAAATACAGACAACACAAGTAATTTTGAGCATGATAATTGGGTTGACATAGTCATTGTAAAGTTTAAAGGCACAATTTACTCAGCCTAATGTCATTCCAACTTCGTATTACTGTCTTTCTTTCGTGAAACACAAAATGAGATGTTTGCCAGAATGTCCGAGCTGCTCTTCCAGCAAAAGTGGATAGTGATTTAGTTGTAAAAACAAGACAAAATGCACTACATTCCATGCCTTCTGAAGCCATACTGTACATGTGTGTGACAATCAGACCAAAATTTAAGCCACCAGAGCTCTGAAGATTGTGTTTACTTAAAAAATGATGCATCATACCTGGTTGTACATCATTGAGGCTCTACTGTTCTTGAACATCACATGACCGATCAAGTAAAAAAAAAAGTGACTGTATATAACATTTGAGAACTGCATAAGGCTTAAAGGAATAGTTCATACATATGTCATAATTTACTCACTGTTATTCCGTTTTGTTCAATGAAACAATCTGCTTTTGAGCTGCTCTTACAGCGAAAATAGATAGGTTTATACTGCCAAGGTGTAAAAAAAAGACAAAAAGCTCCATAAAATGTGAGTTCTGCACTCTATTCCAATTCTTTTGAAGCCATAAGATAGATTTGCGTGCGAAACAGACCTTTTGTTAATTTTGTTCATTTCACTTTTTGATATATCATGCCAAGTGGTACGTCACGAAGGCTGAACAATATTGGTTGACACTTGAGAACTGCATTAGGCTTAAAGAAAAAAAAATTGGTCATAATTTACTCACCTTCATGTCATTCCAACTCCATATCCTTCTTACTTCCATGAAACACAACATGAGACATTCAGCAGAATATCTGAGCTGCTCTTCCACTGAAACTACATGGTGATTTATTCTGCCAGGCTTTTAAAAAAAGACAAAAAAGCACCATAAATTGATAGTTGTGCACCATATTACAAGACTTCCGAAGCCATACCATAAAGTTGTGTCCAAAAGAGAGCTCTGAAATCTCATTTGCAATTATGGTAAATATAAAAAGGCACTTTCTGACATATAGGATGCTAATGCTATTGGCTCTCATATATCACCTGACAAATCATGCTATGACAAGTTTAATAAAAAGTCATTTTAATATTTTGCTATTTTTCGACAAATACGATATTTTAAAGACTGCCAGGGTCCAAAACAACATTTTATCTCATTGACCTTAAAAGCACAGACAAAACACTGTTCAAAATATTTTCAGAGTCAGGTTTGGAACACCATGAGGGTAAGTAAATGAATTTTTATTTTTACATGAACTATTTCTTTAAATTTTGGTCAGTTCTTTACACTAAGGTATCAAATGGCTTCAGAAGACTTGGAATATAGAGTATGATTCATATGGACTACTTTTATGGGTTGAAATGACAATAGGGGAGCATAAATTAAGACAAAATTCTAGAACTATAGAAAGAAATGTGAATGTGTAAATGTGTTTACACTTTAGGATATGGATGTCCAACCGGCCTGAACATACGCCACAGCATGCATTGTTTGTTTTCAGCCATCATTTGGTTCTATGCCACACTGTTATTCGACAGTTTTACATATGAGAAGCCCGTAGAGAATCTGGGCTGAGATCAGTCTACAACCAAAGCAGAGAGGCAATGCTAATTAATCATCTTCTCTTTCAGCCTCCCCCCTCTGGCACATGGAGAATAGCTCTCCATGCTTTAAAAGAGAGAGAGAGAGAGAGAGAAATTCAGATCAAGTTGGCTTATGACACCAGGAACTGAACAATTTCTGATATGATTCAGATTTTTTCAATTTAAGATACCAGCGTGCAATGTTGTACAACACAGATGACCTTTCGCATAGGGGGCGGTGGTGCTATCTGCAACCTTTGGCTCGCTCTGAGGAGGCCAAACAAACAAAGAAACATGAAAATCGGAGCTTCGCGGCATTTGTGCATGCGAGGCTGAGCAGTACCTGGCTTTCGTCCAGCAGCTCAGTATCTCTGAAGACCTCAGGCTGAGCTCTCTGAACAGTAAGTTGTTATCTGCAGCTCAGCACAGGAAACACTGGAACATTTCCCATCAGGCACTGTTGTGGACGCCTCCCCCTCTGGCACTGCAACAGAGGGGTCCTTGAGGAATGTGGAAACTGGGAGAAAATGTGGACTGTGCTTTAAGCAAGTAGTTATGCAGGAGAGATAAGACAATGCTTAGACAAATCAACGAGTTGTCTGTGAACATCAGAGAGCTCACAATAGAAATGATTGCATTCACATTTACACTGAATAAGACATCATCCACCCAAGTTGACAAGAACTAAACTCACTTCTTTACACTAAATAATATATCACGGAATAATCATCACATCTCACCATGCTACTTGTATTATTTCTGCATCATATAATATGTATATTTTGCACAGTATGCATATTTTATGTATGCAACACTCTGATTACCTATTTGCAATATACAGCTATGCAAACTATACTGTATCCCACAATGTAATGCATTAGACTTGACCTTCCAATTCCACTGTGTAGAATGAAGTAGAAGCAATATTAGTGCTCATCTCCTGCCAAAAGTCATTAAGACATTTTTTTTTACCCCAAATTGTATTAAAAAGGCAAACTAACTTTATAACTTGCACACAAAATTAATTGTGCAAAAGAGATGCACAAATCTGCAGCAGACTACCGTTTGAAACGTTTATAGTTCAATATTGCAAACTATTTTACACATTACTTAAAAATAGTACGTAGTACATAGTATATACTGTGCAGTAAACAGTACACTAATACTTCATTCTGAACAGCCGCTGAATAGGCTACATGAGTGCTGCACTTACCAGATCTGTGCAGTAGATGACGCTGTGTTCCATACTCTTCCATCAACGTTAGAAATAGACTAATATGGGTGACCAGCAGTGTTGGGAAAGTTACTCTGAAAATGTAATCACATTTCTGATTACTCCTTTTAAAAGTAATCACGTTACTGTTCTGATTACTTTATTTAAAATGTAATTAGTAATTAGTTACATTATTAGTTACGTTACTTTTTTCTCCATGAAATGTATGAAATCCCTGCATACACGCTCCCGATAAATATTTGTTATTAAAGCATCAACATTCACAGAACACTGTTATTTTTAACTAAAGCAAGCGGCTGCTGCGTGCATGGGTTGGCATGGCAGAATGCCAGCAAAGAGCGCTGCATTTATAATCTCTAAAAGACATTTGTAAATTAAAAAAGTAATGCGTTACTTTACTAGTTACTTGAAAAAAAGTAATCTGATTACGTAACTCGCATTACTTGTAATGAGTTACCCCCAACACTGGTTATAATGAGAGGATTCATGAGCACGCAAATTTCAGCACTGCATTGCTCAACGCTGCAAACACGTGTTAAAGCCTAAATAGAAACTCTGCATAGGCTTGCACCTGTTAATCGTTTATATTTTATATTAGTTCATGTTGCTTTTGTGCAATAGATGAATAAAAATGTATTTGTTTTAGATATTTTATGTTTAGATATTTCTATTTTGCGGGAGTCCCGTGAATAATTTTATTCTCCCGCATCCCGCACACACACGAGTGTCTACCCGCCCGCACCAGCACTCGCTCATCTTGTCCCGCGCCGCGCTCTGTTGCGTCGGGTCTCGCGGGTGCAGGTCTCTAATCCACTGGCACTTGACTCGGCAGTGTGTGTGCTACATCCTTTTTTTGTTACAATATCTAGATTATAAAACACTGCATTATGTCAGCAATGTAACGCGGCAGTAACGTATAGAGACCTCGGCTTGTAACTATACTCTAATTACTATTTTAACAATTATAACGCGTTAAATTACTCCGTTACTAAAAAGTAATCAAATTACAGTAACGCGTTACACAGTAATGCGTTACTGCCCAACACTGGTGACCCGACATCCCGTTTTTCCCGGGACAGTCCCGTATTTCAGCTCTATTTTTAGTGTCCCGACTTATTTTGAAAAAATCATGTTTTGTCCCGTATTTTAAAATTTCTTTATGACTGGTGATCATAGCGAGTAATAGTAGTGTTCTGTCACACGAGAACAGCCTAATCAAAGGTAACCAAGCTCGTCGTAGAACAAAATTACCATCCAATCACAATTCGTTATTGAATAACTTGCAGTTAGTGACGGTCAAAAAAGGCTCCCGACCCCCTAGTATATTACGTTTATTCGGTCTTAAAGGGACAGCAGCCCAATTAAATACCTGTCTGTCTTTTTAATGTTAATCAAACAACAAAAGATGTTAAATAAATGTATACATGTTAAACCTACTGTATTAGAAAAACGAGTTTATTTAATATTTAATTAGTATCTATTGTATTTGTCTTACGGTTTGTAATTTGCTTCTTTATTTTTAATAAATATATGTGGTATGTGGTACAGATCGTGGTCATATTTCACGACCCCACCCCCACCCCGTCCCGTATTGAACCATAATAAATCTGGTCACCTTACTAATATAATGGTAATGATTCACAGTAAAAGATACAATTGAGAAATACAGTACAAAGCATTGTCATTCTATTTTTAACTGAAATAAATGTAAATTATTCCACATTATATTAAGGTTATAAGGCCATTTACAATGTGTTTTACACGAAAAAGCAAATTAAAATTTGATTATTTTTATTTTTCATTTCCATTTTAAATTAGTAAGTCCTTGAAAATGTCTAAATAAATAAATAATTACATATGTCCTGCTATTTTTTTTAAATCAATATTTAATCTAACCCCACGAGACTTGTTCATGAGTTTTGCAACATTGACACTGTTATTGAACTGGATTGAATCAACACTGAACTAGATAGATAGACAGACAGACAGACAGACAGACAGAGACAGAGTGTGAGAAATGTGAATGCTTTGACTGGGACCACAACCACCAAAAAAACCTGCGTCAACATGCTCAGCTCAACTGGTTTTACCTATCGTTGTGTTTTTGCTAAAACAAAGAGCCACAGAGACAAAGAGCTTCACAGACAGGTACTATTTTTAAAATATAGGCCAACACACATCCGTCAAAGACTCGAGACCCCGACAGACACAGCAGTGAATAATAAATAATTGTCTTGAGAAGTGATCCTGAATCTTAAACTGCAGGTGGCGGTGCATGGGCACATGCAATTGAACAGCCGAATGAAAGACAAGGAGACTGAGGTGTATTGTTTGCACAAATCCACATACTATCTGTTCAGGAAGCAATCCAAAATGTCAACATTTACATACAGTCAAACTCACTAATACTCATTATCTTACAGGTTATAATGTATACCTGTCCCTACTCTGCTTTATGCATCCCTGAGGTTTGTTCATAAAGCTGAATAACAGGTTGTCAGACACATGGAGGGAGGAAAGGGGGAGTGAATAGACAAAGAAAGAGAGCAGAGGGAGGGAGAGAGGATAGAAAGAGAAGTAACGTCTTCCTCTCTGTGCTGTCAGCGTTATGCAAAAGGAACTTCTCGCTTAAACACTGCTGGTCTCTCATAAACAGAAAATGCCAAAGTTCACAATCTTTCTGTCTTTTAACAGCTAGTGGTTTGCTTCGTACCTTAAAATATCTGTACTGGAAAACTTTAAAGTGGTGTTTGCTAAGCAAGTGCCACTATTACTCATACCTCAGGTTAGAGATTTGAACAAACATCCAAGTATTAAACTTTTATGCTGTAGGCCTACTCTTTATGCCACAGACTTCAATTATACCTCAAATATGTTGCTTTTTAAGGAAACATTTGCTATTATTATCCTTATTACAGTTGATGATAAAATGTTTAGTGAAGTAGAAGTTTAGTGAAGTAGTTTGCAGTGAAGTAGGGACTGCATCTAAAGAATATCAAAAAGAAAAGGTTATTTTGAGTAAGTAACCACTTAGCAACGTGCTAGAAATAGCCTACCCTAAAACAAAGAACATAGTGGCAAGTTCTGCATGGGCAATTTTCTTCACATAATGTGAAAATCTAAATTTATTTGAATTAAGGCGTGGTCACAGTAACCGATGTTCAGCGAAATTTCGCGGGCGAAATCCAGTCATTCACATGGGAACTGCCAGATATGGAGCAGGGTTGCCACTGTTGCCAAAGTTCGCGGTTTTCCCGCGGAATGTGATATTTAGCCCCTGGAGTGCACATTTTACAAGGGGAACCCCATCAAAAAATCGTGTATTTTACCCACAGTCTATGATTTTACCCCCGGAACGCGATTGGGCAAGTTTTAAAGTCCCCCTGTAGTCAAAACTTTTATCCTTTAAAACTCATCTTTGATCATCAAAATGACATATTTAAATGTTTTTTCTTGTGAAAATAATTTTCTCATGCCTTAAAATAGCTTGAATGCAACTCTACCCCCTTGCCTCATTTACTATACGCGGATCTATGAATACGCAAATTAGCCCCGCCTCCACTCAGTCACACACCCAAGAGTGTCTGTCTGCGGACTGCAAGAGGAGGGCGTAACTGGAAGAAGGGGCGTAACTTGAAGTTTTCCAAATCACACAGAACCACACGAGATACCAAAACGAGATGTTGTTGGCAAGATGGCCGCTTGTATAGAGACAACGGTGAGAATATTTTTTTTAATTTGGATTTCATTAACTAGCTGCGTAACAAGAACATGGCCAATTTAAGTTTATAGGACAACTAAACTATCAATTTAAACAAAAATTTACCGTCAACTACAGACGTTGCATCCATCGATTCCGCCATGTTTCTCATTGACACGCCCCCAACTCGGAAACTCGGGGCTTAAAGAAAATTTCGAGTTTCCTACTCGTAATAACGACTTTGTGGTGACACAAAAAACACGCGGGTTATTATTCAAGTTAGCAGTTCTAAATACAAATAAATAAGCGCTAACAGCACATGACATCGTGAAAATAGGAGGAAATATTAACGGTTACCGAAACATCTATAGAAAAATGTTTACCGTTACCGGATTAACCTGGCTGCCTTCTCCCTCTGCTTTGCAGCAGTTAATGATATGCTAAGGATAGAATCAGTGTTGCCAACTTC